CAGAACGGAAGAAAAGAGTCTATAAATCAGTTTTGTTTATAGTCAGTGACCTTTCTGACATTTCTAAAGACTCACATAAGATTTAAAGTCTTCATAACTCTTGTCATAAAAGTTCGCTGGTCTTATGGTTTGATATCACAATCTGATAACACGTCAACAATTTGACTTGATAATGAACTATTTGCTTAGGCTTTTGCATCTTGCGCGGTAAAAAATAGCTGACGAATGCTAACAATTGGTTTTGCTTGTTAATCAATCAGTTAATCCACTGTTTACAATTTTACTTAACCAAGACTTATATTCAGTTATCTATGGATTCGAAGTACGAATATAGAAATTATAAAAAATATATACGTCAACAATATAAATGAATAGGAAAATATTTTATAAATAAACTTAATGCTTCAATATTAAAGGTGCTCTCGGCCTTCGTTAGTCTCTATTTGTTTGACTTTTGATTGTTACTCAACCACGCCAGAGTAAAAACGATATTTGGATATCTGTAAGTAGAAATATTGCGCAGTAAAAAAGAAAGGTAAGATGGCGGTAATCCAACACATTTAACTAAAACAACCAAATATAATTTAATATGTTTTTTTTTACTAATATAATGTTATAATCAGAAAGAGATTTCCGACGCATTGTATCTCTTAATATTTGAGTAACGTCTCGAGAACTGACTTACGTACTCTATTAGATTCAATTTTCACTGATTGGATACGAAATTTCTTGAAGAAGAAAAATCATTTATATTGGATAGCTCAGATTAAATTAAAAATTTACATTATGTGACTCTACCAACTGAATTGAAAAGCAATTAGTATTGAAAATTTGCATGCGAGTTTTTTAATGAAGACTTAATCATTTGACCTCAATATATCATAACTATTCCGTTATTTATCAGTACAATTTACTTACGTTAAATAATATCTAATTGAGTTGGAATAAAGCGAGCATTAACTTGAAATATATTGAATGTCTGTATCGTGAATCAAGGTAAGTAATATATTCCATACAGAGTTACCATTATGCACATGTTATTTTCTGATGCATAGATTATAATATATGTTTATCACGCCAGTATTTGCAGTTGAGTATGAATAAACCTATTATAATATTTTAAAAGTTCAATAAATGAGAATATAAATGTAACTTAGATATATGAGGTGGAAATACAACAAGTCGGAAGCATCTCACGGGAAAATCAAGAAAGTTGATTCTATTTCAACCCCACCATTTTGTTTTTAAACCGAGTAATAAGTCGATTCCATTGTTACTTTTTGGTTGTAATTTTTTATATTTAATCTCTTCGCTCGATATTCTCAAATTTATCATTAAGGTTGTTTTCTTTAAACTAGGTTTGTAAAATGCACATAAATAAGAAAAACGAGAAGGAAACTATACGTCTTTTAATGTTATATGTACACAACCATTTCGAATATCGTAACCGTAGAGTGAATACTTTAGAAATTAAAAAAATTATCTCGCCGCCATTTTGTTTTTTGGCTGAATCTCATTGCCGTTTCAACTCGATTAAAAAAAATATTGTCACTCTCCATACATGAAAACATCGATTTCTCCCTCCTTCTACCCGAAAAAAGCATGGAGTGAGTGAGTCAGTGAGTCAGTCAGTGGTAATTAAGTATTATATTTATAGATTAGGAATCTGAGCAATATAAGTGATGAAATGGGTTTCTTTGTATTCTCTGAATAATTATTTGCCAATATATCATAAAATTTTGCTTTATTTCCTTTTTGCTTTATTTAAAGGCGTATTATTTATATACACTGTTCTAATTATAGTAACTATTTTGTTATTTTATAATGCAAATGTACTCATGAAAAGTTTTTAGTCCTTTATTCCTATAAAACAAGATGATGTAATAAAAATGTATGTAAGAGTGAAAACAAAACTTACTACTTTGTAATCTACAGGGACAAACCCTGTTTTTTATTTTATGAGTAATTCTAATATTTAAAATGTTTTCAAACTATTGGCTGAAACAATTGATTCACTTTCTTTTTTTTAATGTTCATTTTCAAAGTTTTGTTAATGTCCGTCTGTTTGTTTATTCGACTGTTCACGTCTGTGTTGCAAACTCTATATATAAGCATTAGAAATCTGTATTTACGACCTTTGTAGTCGAGTGGCTTTCAGATTTCAAGGTGCAACCTATGAGGTCTAGGATTTGATTCCCGGTCGGTTAAACGTAGAAATGGACTTTGCTATATCGTCTCAAGTCTGACTATTGTAATACCTTCGTCGTCTCAAATACCCCATTATACGGGTGCTTGTGCCGTTTTCACAGACGAGAATTATGACTTTAGATTGACATATAATGACACATTTGTATATGGAAAGATTTCGTCCTCACCCACAGATTGACCTCATTTGTCACCCTAAATTTAAAAATTGGAATGTCTCTGTTTCTTAAGAAATATGAGTTCTTATTTGTTTTAAAGTAGTTTAAATTAAAAAAATATATATTTTCCATTTTTTTTTTATAAAAATAAACTCGTATAAAATTATTTTTCTTTAAAAAAATAATTAAAGAAACGTTTGGTTATTTACAGAACTATTTTAATAGAACTTATACAAGACAAATTCAAAAAATAAATAGTTTATTGATATTTTCAATAAATCAATCATGACGTTTCAAAATAAAAGTTCATAGACGATTTTTTGTTTTTTTTTTTTTTAACACTCCTAAGATAAAACAAGGGATTCTAATGTGAATCCGATGTGAAGTTTAAAAAATCTCTGCGTAAAAATTTAATATAAAAATCTGGATTACGCAGAATTCAAGCCCGCAAGATTTTTTTCTCTCCATGAGATGAAAAAATTATATGTTTAATGATTAACACAAGCGACAATAAATATTTACATCTCTGAGTTCTTGTTTAATATTTATATAATTTATTAATTGCTTTTGTAATTAACTAACAATCATCCTATCTGAATGAACATGATTAAAATGTAATTTAAAGGTTTTTTTCTGTTATTATAAAATCCGAAATGTGTTCTTAGTATAAGAAACAGTGTTATTTATAAAAATACCTAAACAACATTAAAGCGTATCGAATTTGCCATTCATTTTAAATGATTCTTAACAAAAAATATTACTTGTTCTTTTCTGGCCAATTACTGGTACAATAAACCTATATTACCCGCGTATGATGTATTTTTCCGTAGGGGAAATAATTTTGTATATCGGTCTAGTAGATTCGGAGCTTATTTAATTTAAATAATAAACAAAGCTTTCCTCTTTATTATAATACTAGCTTCTGCCCGCGACTTCATCCGCCTCGTAAGTTACTTTGTGCAGAATTTTCAAAAACGCAAAAAAAAATATTTATTCATTTTATCGTGTAAAATACCTGGAATTTTCATATAAACTTTAATTTCCTTTAACCACAAACAGTTACCCAAGAAAATATGTGTTTGGTTGACTTTTAAAGTCATAGCTATTTTTATTTTCGAGCTCAAATTTATGAGATTTTATGTAACTAATAAAAAAACAATGAAGCAAATATACAATAAGTTAAAGTTCATAAGAAATTATCTGTGATATTAAAATAATATTACCCTTACCTTCGACCTTAAAGACACTTAATCAAAAAGCTATATTTATTTATTAAAGTACAACAACATCTACACCTATGCATTGTGAGTACTAGCAGTCTCGGCGAACAACCTACCGCCTTAGTAACTACATACCACTATGCTACGATATAAGAATAATCAAAATCGATTTTTAAAACGGAAACATTACAAATATTACACTCGATGACCATCTTAGAACAAAATACTCGAAGGATGTGTTGTTTGTCATTATGATATCTCTGATAGTCCAAGGATCATTTGATTTTAAGTTAAACATGGTATCATGGTTAACATAACAATCAAAATGATAGTTTTATTGTTATGATAATTACGAGAAATATTGTAAATACCTCTGTTCAAAAATACTCCTTCACTAAATATATGGAATGCCACAACATTAAGCTTTACTGTAGCAATAATCTACATTTATCAGTATTAAACTTTTTAAGTATGATAGAGTTAGTTAGACAATTAAAAAAAAAATATATAAATCAGAAATCGCTAATGTATAATACATATATTATTCAAACTCAGAATTCTATCTGATACCTACATAAGCGCAATTTTAGTATAAACCTATTATATACTGAATCTCGGAAACGGCTCCAATGAGTATGCAATAGGTTTCGGAAACGACAAATCAATCTAGCTTGGTTTTATTTACCTTAAAAGAAGTACCAATGACTCTATCAATTAAGATCAATTAAAAGAAAAATCATCAACGACAACGAATCCTGGCAGTTAGAAAATATTTACACATTTCAATATCTTCACGTTCTTAATTATTTTTTTTTTCTTTATTGAAGCTTTGGCTACACTGACCATCAGCTTAAACATTAAATGTCTAAAGAAATCTTAACAAAATTATACTACAAACTAACACAATGAACTTAAATAATATAATAAAACTTACAGTAAAACTAAACGAAAAACACACATTAATAATAAAAAATTCAAACAACTTTTATATATATATATATATAAGTAGACTACATTTAAAGTTATAAAGGACCAAAAGTATTGACATAAAAATTATAAATAATACAATAAATCTCTTGTATCTTCAATAACTCTTTTACATTTAGAGGAAAATTTTTGGAAGGCATTGTTTCAGAAAATAAACTAATAAACAGAAGGCGTTGTATTCACGTTCTTAAGACTATTCCATAGATAAACTATTTAGCGCATAATTTGTGGTATGATATAGCGTCACATTAAATTAATGCGTATTGAAAAAAAATAATCCAGAAACATAATAATAAACAACTGAATCCTATTAGCACGACACACGTTTTGGTTTGACGTGCGTGCACAACGAGCGGCTTTGTAGGCTCCGTATTTTAAACTACAATGACGTAGACGCCGTGTATATAGTCGGTTGCGCAGGAGCCTACTCAATAGTCGTAGTCGAGATTGCGACTTGACTTAGGGTCCTTTTGAGGACATTGTTATTTGGTTCATTTTTTTAATCAATACTGTGACGTTTCATCCGGATTGCAGATAAAAAAGGTAGGGGAGTGATAAGTGTTTTTTTTTTATTAATTTCAAATGATTTATTTTAATATCATAAATTTATTTTCGGTAGTATTAATAAAATCGAATCCCAAATATAAGTGAAAAGTGTGCATATGTAAGAAAATCGAATCATTTTTATAGTTCGAGTGGAAACTATGATTATTGTTATAATATTTACATTATTCGTGTGAATTTTTTTAACTTTATAGTAAGAAACTTTTAAAACAAAGTATTGAATCCTATTTTTTACACATACTGTGTGTTAACATTAAAAGTATTTATTTATTCTTAAATGAAGCATGTTTAAGTCATTAAAAAAGTATTATAAAAATTTTTTAGAACTTCTTTTATTTCACAAAATGTGTTTGTTTAAATGTTTTAAAACATTATGTTTAAATATGCTGTATATTCATTAATAACAAGCGAATTTACAGCAAATAAACATTTTTTTATCTTGCTCAAATTGCGAGAAGCAGAAGTTTCAAGTTTTTTCCTGAGTAAACGATTTATAATTATATTTTATTTACGTATAAATAAATAATGAAATCATCTTAAGTTAAAAAAATACAGCTTTCGTGTTGTTACGAATCCTGAAAGTAGTATATCAGTTACACATTTTTTTAAAGTTAAAATAATTTATTACTATTATAAGACGAATAAAACCAATGTTTTTATTTATAAGAGAATTTATTAGTTGTTTATGTAAGTTCTGTTTGAGATTTGGGGCAAAAAATAGGAGTAGTTAATAAAGAAGTTTTTAATGTAAAGCATTACCAAAGGCTCTTATATTTTAGTATCAAATGATTTCGTTTGAGTGTTTTGTATAATATATAACAGTGTTTCATAACCTTTTTAAATGGCTACGCAAAAATAAAGGACATTTTAAGCTCAGGTCGATTGGTCTTGCCTTGACCGCATCTAGCGGCTTCCCGCAATCTTTATAAGATCATCGGTCCACCTGGTGACAATTTATTTATGTATGTCTGGTGACAATGTCAATAAAATAAAATTTACTAAATTGAGGTAATTTTCTCAGAAAATCTTTTAAAATTCTCCCCACCTTAATATCGCGACACGAAGTTAAGACTCCTATATAATATTAAATATATAATATAAACAGTTATGGAATCAAACTATTTGGTTTATTGGAAGCAGTAAGAAAACAAAGAATGGATTTTTTTCTATATATTGTTCCATATTTAATACAGATAGATATATTTATTAGAAAAGTATTACAAACTCGTTTTAAAAAATGAATTTGCACTAATGTTCTTTTCGACATGGATACTCTTAGTTTTCAATACATTTTCACTTCATATTTTTATAATAAAATTTACAATCTCATTTTGACACACTATAAATTTTTTTTATTTTTATAATATGTAAGTAAATACAAACTTGACCAGGAATACAATTTTATCATAATCGTATGTACTTCATATATGAAACCAAGGCTAGTTAGTTTCCTACTAAGTAAACAACAATTATAGAAAAAACGGTAAACGTTACCATAATAAAACATCTATATGGATAAACTATAATTTAGGTAATTAGAAGTTCAATTAGGTATATATTCTGTAGTTATATCCGCAGGTCAAAGTATTGATTAGTGATTCGCTGACGTATATGTAGCATTAAGCAATTAAAATTTGCATTTCACAATCGTGAACGTGTGTGAAAAATGCTGATATTAATTCGTTTTTATTCGTTCTTAATAAATTTTGATAAATTGCATAATTATGTTCCCCTTCCAAAGTAGGTAGTATTTTTTTGAGCAAAAAATATTTTATAGTTATTAACGCAAACTACCAATTCACATATAAATTTATAATATTTGTTAACAGGTAATTAAAAATGAGTTACACTGCGGAAAACGTGGTGCAAAGCAGCACATGGACTGCTACCAACATGTTCTACATGCTGCTAGTCCCAGCAGTAGTCCTGTGGTATGCGTACTGGAAGATATCTAGGAGACACATGTACGAGCTAGCTGCTAAGCTCAATGGACCACCGGGCCTACCACTCATAGGCAACGCGCTCGACTTCACTGGAGGCTCAGCTGGTAATTTTTTTGAAGTTTTCACATGACGAAAGCCTTTTTGTGATACTAAATATTATAAACACATTACCCTCCTTTGCGTCGCGCTGTCGGGTAATTAAATGGTAGCAATGACGTAATTAACAATTATTCTAATACATATTAAATATTTGTTTATTAATTCCGAATTCTATTTGGTCGATCGATTAACTTTATTTAAAGAAAGCTAAATAATACTACCTAGTTTCATGTCAACATTTTACAACTTTGAAAAAAGGAATTGTTTTACTTATATATACTTACTTATTTATTTAAACAAAAGCTTTAAAAATAATACGCAATATATTAGAAAAAATAAAAACAAAGTTGACAACGCGTAAAAGAAAATCAATGTAAGTATAAATTTGTATGCAGATATCTTCAGAAATATTGTATCGAAGAGTAATAACTTCGATAAGGAAGCTGTCGTGAAGATCTGGATCGGCCCCAGGCTATTGGTGTTCCTGTACGACCCTCGAGATGTTGAGCTGATCCTCAGCAGTCATGTCTACATCGACAAAGCTGATGAGTACAGATTCTTCAAGCCTTGGCTCGGAGATGGTCTTCTCATCAGTACTGGTACATTACATTTTATACTATTACTAAAATTGGCTCTATTAATTCGCAATTTCATAAACTCTAAAGTACTGTGCTCATTTTTCATGAAATAACATAACTGAGTAAAATTATGTTATTTTTATCATATTTTTAATTGCCCTTAGAACATCTATGGATACAAATATCTAGTCGATAGTATTTCTTGATAAACATTGTAAAAGTAAAGTAAATATATTATTAATCAGAAAAATAATAAAATCGAACTTTAATTTAGTAACTCATAAGAGGAGCCTATCAAATTTGTTGAGGTTTATCCAAATTATTTAATCATTTATATCAGTGTTAATCGAAAAATAATGGCATTGCTAATTAAACTATATAAAGGGATTGATAAAGTTTTGGATGTTATCACATTGATTAAATAAGGACAAAATAATAATGAAAAGGATTAGATCAATTTGTTTTATTAAAGACTTTTAATGTAAATCCAACAAAATATAGATTATGAAAAACTTATTAGTATAGTTTAAATAATATTACCATCACGCGAATCTTACCTCTATGAAGAATTTAGATTCAAACAAAGTGACAATCCTAAAATGCCTTCTAAAGAACCGAGTATGAATTTGTATTTACTATTTGTTAAATCACTTAAAAATTATATTTTTTAAGATATAATTTTCGATGATAAATTACTTTTAAACTATGTGGGTGTGCTTAATACACCACCGCAATCCAATAGTGGAAACAATTAAATTTTCAACATTTAAACACTATATTCTTGCACAACAATTACAAATCTTTTCTAAGTAATAGTAATATTTTCTCAAATATTTTATTTGACATAAGTCTGTTTCTATCATAGGTCAGAAATGGAGATCCCATCGTAAACTCATCGCTCCCACTTTCCACTTGAACGTTTTGAAGAGCTTCATAGACTTATTCAACGCCAACTCTAAAGCCGTTGTCGACAAACTAAAGAAGGAGAGTGGTTCCTTCGACTGTCATGACTACATGAGCGAGTGCACTGTCGAAATCCTACTAGGTAAGTTGACTTAGTTGTTCCGAGTTCGAAATTCGAGTGAATGTTTTGTCATCGGGAACACCTATGTTCTCAACATAGAGTGTACCTCATAACATCTTATACATGGGTTTGTATTAAATTTTCGTGATGTGTTTCATACCACAACAGATTGTGAATGCCTCATATTTCAAATCAGATAGTCATCGCAGCAATAAAATTCCATTTAACGGAGTTTGCACATATATTAATACTAACTTAATTTAAAATTATAAAATTTCCAACGTCGTAGTTGCCGCTAACGTAAAATTTAGGAACTCTAAGTTTTGAAATGAAATAATGTACACGTCTTTTAAGGAAGATTTATAAAATATAGTAGACATTAATTATAGACCTAATACTGAAAATGTGTATAATCAAATGTATACGTGCTTGCATTGCGTCAGCAACTAGTAATATAAGCGACTCGCCTTATTCATACCTAACTATTAAGCTTTATTATTGCAAAATTGTTATGACCGTATCAGACACGTCCTCATACGTAGTAAAATATTTGCTATTCCTTATATTGCATAACAAAGTTTCGAAATCAGTGTAGTTCTAACATAATGCAGATTTCAAAAGATTATTTATTCACAAAGATTCTTATATCAAGTAACTTAAAAAAGTTCAAGCTACCCTAGCAACAAATTTATAAAAAAAATCATTTATTCATGTATCGTACTATTAATAAGTCTTGCCTGGTTTGCGCCGTGTAAAATACAAATTAAAAAATTTATCTCCATATTTATAAGTAACTTTATAAAACCATTGTCTCTAACCATAAAATCTAATCGATAGGCGTAGGTCGCGATTCATATTACGTGTAAAGAATACAAAAGAGTAATTTTTAATACGTTAAAGGTACCTTCCGTTGATCCGTGAAGCCTGATGATTAATTGTTGATTTCCATTCGCTCTACTGTTTATAGCACACGCTAAAATTTATTAGGATAGATAGACATAAGAACAAAATTGATTGTCGTGTTATATTGTTCACTAAAACCTTTATGTTGTGTTATAAAGGTTTTAGGGTAGATATTTCATACTTAGTTATTATGAATTTTTAGCGTTTTGTTTTTATACATCGTTAATTTAAAAAGTTTGAGAAATCATTATAAGTTGTCAATAAGTAAAACATTCAGTTAGCTTATAAAAACTTAATAAAAACAGACCCAAATCTCAAGGTGTCTACGCGAATATAATATAGGATAATAAGCAATTTCTTAGTGGAGTCACGTAGTAGCTGAGTAATGACGACACATGACCCTGCTCCGACGCTAGATGGCGTTCTTGAATGCCTGCAGTACTTTAAAACTTGCACACCACTGTCACACGAGATAATAAAATATTATGAATCCTAAAATATATATTTTATTCTAACAAATTATAAGCGAGATGTTAATAATGGCAAATATATTTGTGCACGATTTTGCGACCCACTTAAAACTTCTAGAATTTATGATCAATGCAAGACACTCAAGTTGCTCCGGTAATATTACCTGTAATATTTAGTCATTATTTATATTATAGATCATCTCTAAATTATGGTGTGTGCAATAATATTGAAGGTGCAATTAAGTTGTTTACTTCATAGAGTTGTATCAAAATTGAAGTACGAGTAGGTGATTGCCATTCGTTTCTTGACGGCACGTAACTAATAATGAGTTTGGCGACCCCCCACGACACACGTACATCTAATGGCCAATATTCGCCATAAAGGGCCGCTCAATATTCAAAGTTACCATCGCGATTTTCGTTACTCAATAACTTTCATGACAATGAAGGTCAATTACTCTTTCTTTTAATTTTATATGGTTACGATAATATTTTATTAAATAACTTTTTTCATTTATTACAGAAACCGCTATGGGCGTTAGCAAGAGCACCCAAGATCAGAGCGGTTTCGAATATGCCATGGCTGTGATGAAGATGTGTGATATCCTTCACTTGAGACACACCAAGATCTGGCTGCGACCTGAATTCCTGTTCAGCTTTACACAGTACGCTAAGAAACAAACTAAACTCCTTGACATCATCCACGGATTAACCAAGAAGGTAATTATCACGTAATCGGTTTAACTTATGAATTTTAATAGTGGCCATTAATTCGGTGTTCAGGTTTATAACATGTTTATGCAAATGTTTGCTTATATTAATTGTGAACAAGTAAGTAATAAAGTAAAGATGACGTTAATATTTTGCATAATATATAGTGTTTCGTTTTTTCTTACCTATTTGTTTAATGAGTTACTTTATTATTAATATAACATTCTATTTCATAACAGGTTATCAAGAGGAAGAAAGAGGAATTCAAATCTGGCAAAAAGCCATCTGTTTTGTCAGAGCCTGAGACAACAACATCAACGGAAATTCCTGCCACTAAGACGACCTCAGTTGAAGGTCTATCTTTCGGTCAAGCTGCTGGACTTAAAGATGATTTAGATGTCGATGATAACGATGTGGGTCAGAAAAAACGTCTCGCTTTCCTCGACTTACTATTGGAAAGCTCTCAGAGTGGTGTGGCTATTTCTGATGAAGAGATCAAAGAACAAGTGGACACGATTATGTTCGAGGTAAAACTACAATGTCTAAATTACAAATGTTATATGTAGTTCTTAAAAAATTACAGGAATTAATTGGTATCATATTTTACAGGGTCATGATACTACTGCTGCAGGCAGTAGCTTCTTCTTATCCATGATGGGTATTCATCAGGATATTCAGGACAAAGTCATCGCGGAACTGGACCAGATCTTTGGAGACTCCGATCGTCCAGCCACGTTCCAAGATACACTTGAGATGAAGTATCTAGAGAGATGTTTGATGGAAACTCTAAGAATGTACCCACCAGTGCCTATAATTGCTCGCCAGCTTAAACAGGATATTACCTTGCGTAAGTCAAACATAAAATTTTACTACTATTATGGTAGGTTATTATTTTTAATCATATGTTTACAAATCCCAGCAAATAAATTTTGCTATTTTAAGGTCTTTCATTTTGTTGTCTTCCTCACAAAAGCTCTTCTTATAGCAAACAATATTCTTGTACATAATTTGCAAAGGTTATGTTTCATGATAAGTAAATATTACAAAAATAAAAGCTTTCTATTTAATTCCATCATACAGCGTCTAATGGTAAACAAGTACCGGCCGGCACTACTGTCATCATTGCTACATACAAACTGCACCGCCGTCCTGACGTCTATCCGAATCCAACCAAGTTCGACCCTGACAACTTCCTCCCGGAGAGGTCAGCTAACCGTCACTACTATGCTTTCGTGCCATTCTCAGCTGGACCAAGGAGTTGTGTTGGTGAGTTAATTATTTCAATTACTTTAGTTAACGTCTTGAATGTAAAAGGAAAATTGTATACGTCCTCTGACAAATTAAAAATGTACCTATCTACTTTTGGTATCTTTTATATGAGTCATGTTATTATATTTTAACTTTACCTGGAACCAAATTACACATAAAATACTAATTAATGTGCTATTCTTATAGGAAGTTAGGCAGTATCATGACTAGTTTTTGAGATTGATTTTTAGGGATGTAGTGTTGAGTAATTTTTGTCTCATAATACATTAAAATCAAACAATATTTTCTCCTTGACAGGTCTTTGACGAATGTACAATTTCAATTTGTTTGTTTTATCAACAGGTCGCAAGTACGCCATGTTGAAACTGAAGATCATCCTCTCAACAATCTTGAGAAACTTCAGGGTTTACTCTGATCTTAAGGAATCCGACTTCAATCTTCAAGCTGATATTATCTTGAAACGCGCCGAAGGATTCAAAGTGCACTTAAAACCACGAAAAAGGATGGCTAAAGTTTAAAGCTTACTAAATATATGTAAATTGTTTTTTTTTACTAATTAATAGCTTCATAATTTCTTTGAAATCATTAATATACCTATTTTCCATTTTAAATTTGCCAAAAATATATTATTAGTGTGAATTAACATTAACAATAAATTAGTATTTCTTATTTCTGTACTACAGAAAACGAATCATTACTATAGCAAAAATAATATATATTCGTTAATCATCAAAAATTTTCTGTCAATTCGTTAGAGCATTTTTGATGCCAGCACTGATTAATTTAAATAATATATAATATTAATAATTGAAATAAAATGGTGACAGAAATGAGAACACGGGTGATATCTATGTTGGTGAAAGTAATTGAACTTATTACCCTAAGTGTAAATAGCTAGTTAAGTTACGCAATGTGATTTATGTTTTGATTATGAAAATAAATTAAGTTGAATTTATTTGTATATTTGTTTCCTTTTAACTATATATATTATAATTTATTATTAACGATAATTTCATTATGGTTGGGAGTTCTAACATACTTGCAAAAGCTTGAAAAGTCGCTCGTTTGTTTGATATAAAAATGTTTAGTGATGTATGGACTCAATTGCATTTGAAATAGATTGAAAATAAAGGCGTCGTTAACACTGATAATGTAACGTTATCACTTTGAAACAACGCGATTACCTCACCCCTAAATACCTATTTACAAAAATTGAATTGAATATAATTTAATCGAGTTCTTATGGTCAATTTGAAGTAATCTAACGTAAATGTTGATTACTGATTGCATGTCTATCAGAATCATAGATTTATTATACTACAAATGGAAAGCGTCGAATGTGATGAAAAAAAAAAATATTGAATATTTTTCTAATAAAATAATAATACTTCACCACCGCACAGATGTACGCACTGAGATGGTAAAAGAATGAATGTCGCTTCTCATTAATTTGCTAGGTGTGAAGAAAGTTCGTTTCGTCCGTCTCTTTTGGCTGTATTAATATTGCGATTACAAAAGAAAAATATATTTTAATAAATTAAGATAATATATAAATGTGAAACATTTGCAGAAATTTTAAGGGACTGATTAATTTGGTAAATTTATAGTTTTTAAGAGTGTTATGGATTTGTACGCTTTATTTATGCAAATAAGTATAAATAAATAATTATATAAAAGAACACAGTGGCATCAAATCTCAGACAACTTTGGATTTTAATCTTAATTAAAAAACCATCTTTACACAAACACACGCTACTATGTGCGTTTTAAATTGGCCTCTTTTTACTTTACAATATTACCCGTGTTAAGGGTCAATGCCCATTTATAATTTTTGTATATTGCTTAACACATCCAAACATACGTACGTCAGCAGAACATTTCTGTATAAAATTAATGTTATGTCGAACTGACCGGATATGCTAAGTAGATCGCAAACACATCATTCAGCAATAAACTTTTTTCATTATTATTATATTTAGTGAATAAATTATTCTTTAATAGTTTATGTGGAATTTTTATATAAACCTGATACTTTAATCAACTTAGTAATAATACCAGTGTGTTAATTAGTTACCTTTGGTAAGGACTTAATAATAACCACGTATTGATTTTACGAAGATATTAAAATCATAAAATATGAATAGACTGCTTAGATATAATTCAGCAATAAACTTTTTTCATTATTATTTAGTGAATAAATTATTCTTTAATAGTTCATGTGGAATTTTATTATAAACCTGATACTTTAATCAACTTAGTAATAATACCAGTGTGTTAATTAGTTACCTTTGATCAGGACTTAATTAATAACCACGTATTGATCTTACGAAGATATTAAAATTATAAAATATGAATAGACTGCTTAGAAATATGAATTTGATTAAATAAGTATCCACTATAACGCAAAGTAATAATAATGTAATATGATAATGTATCGTTAGTATACCTATTACAATTTAATAGGTACTTAATGTATTAAAGTGAAACATCTTCTGACACTTCAAGTAGCAAAAAAGAATTTATATAGAGCGAATGAGAGAAATAACGTTTCATCATCAACAGCCATATGACGCCCAATGCTGGGCATAAGCCGCCACCTTTGTTCTCCACGATGATCGATCCTGCGCTGCCCGCATCCAGCGGCTTCCGGAAATTTTTATGAAATCGTCGGTACACCTGGTGGGAGGGGGGGCAATGAAAAGTTTATCTGAACACCAATTGTTTAAACCATTTACGAATGATTTGATTTTAATTGACCTATTCGACACCTCATAATTATTTATGAGGTGTCGAATAGGTCATATGCGCCATCGGGTTCTTATGAACCCGATGGCGCATTGATTAATGTGTTCAATCTATAGTGCGGAGTTTTCCAAAGGCTGGTCGTAGGAATGTCGTTTTTAACCTAGAAAATACGACTAGAACCTTTCTTCCGTCGGTGACATCAAGCGTCTGAAACGTGGTTGTCTTGTTTTATGCGTGAACAAATCAGCCTTTGGAAATAGGATTTCCAATAGGTCATAGCTTGATGATGATGAAATGAAACGTCTTATAAAGTTATCATGAAAGAATAATCTTTATTTAATTCCATTGTAAGTAAATAAGCTGATCACACGATGAGACGAAGGAGCGTTTCAGTTTTATGATACTGTTTCTTAGTCTTACTTTACGCCAGCAGCTTCGCTCGCGTGGTTTACACGATGTAAATTAATCCTTAAGAAAATGTTTAGTAGGATGAAAAGTAGCCTAATTCAGAATTTGAAACCAAACCAAACTTCATCAAATCCATTCAGTATTTTTTGCGTGAAAGTGTAACAAAAATGTATGCATCCTCACAAACTTATGCATTCTATTAATATTATAAATGTGAAAGTTTCTTTGTTTGGATCTTTGTCCGTCAATAAAACCGAAACTACTGAACGTTATTTTGTATAAAGATAGGGTATTAGCTGACTTACATAATAGGATACTTTTATCTCACTAACATTTTCCTAGGGACCACGAGGGCGAAGCCGGTGGCAAAAGCTACTAGCTTTCGCTAATAATATTAGCTTTCAATCCGTTCAGTAGTTTCGGCGTGATTGATGGACAAATATCCAAACAAATAAACTTTTAGATTTATAATATTAATAGCATAGCAGGACTCTGATACATGTCACGGTGAAAAAAAAATCTAACCTAACTCTGCATATTATTAGTGAGTCTAACCTGATTATTAATTCTTATTGAAACTCTCTTCGACTGTAGTTGTATGTAAAAAAATATATTTGAGATCATAAGAAACAGAAATTTATGAAATTTCCATTTTTTATGCGACGGTTTTTTCGAGTATTTTTAAGATAAAACATTAATACGTCAATTTTTATTTTGTTACATCTTAAAAATATAATCTTTCAACATTTTGGAATATCATAATGCAGATCATGATATTCCGAAATGTTGATTGTTTTTAAAAATATATAGTTGAATTAAAATAAAATGTTATGTTCGTGTTAAAACTAGTAACGGAATTTTATCTGTTTTAAATCTTAAATAAAAAAATAGTCACAAAATAACATTTTCTATGTTTATATGTTATAACTAGGGGTTGTCATAATCCTGCATCGATATAACGTAGATAATTTTACTATCTACGATTGATCAATAATCGCGCTCCTATTTTCGACTTTGTTCCGGCTCTTGCGTTGACTACTATACATTCTCTTCATATCTTCATGAGTGTTAGTGCGTTCCAGCACAGCAGACGTTGATATAATGTCCATATCTTCAGCGGTACATTCAGCTATTGCAAATTTTAATCTGAAAACAAAACTGTCGTTAAATCGTAAAATACAATAAACAAAACTAATGATAGTAAACTTTTTATCTCCTGTCACCGTGCTTTGGAATCCTTGAGGTAACACGCACAGTTGAACACGTGACAGTGGTGACTTCCACAGAAATGACAGACGCGTTAAATTAAAAAGTCACGGTCGTGCTTAGAGATGTTTTTCCTCAAAACTCAAAATATTGTATTTTTGTTACTTGTCTGTTACTTGTAAAGGAATTATGTAAATGCAAATAGGCTATAACAAAAGAAGAAGAAGTCACGATGACAAAACATAGCCTAATTGCTCATTTTAAAATTAGCGTTCTAATAAATGGAAAATTTGTCATTTATGTACCTACAAATTATACATAAACCATGCATAGAAACTACAATCAAAATATGAATATTCAGATAAAACAACTTCATTAAGCGCATAAGAAATTTATAACGCAGTAATAACGTAACGCTGGGATGAAAAGGATATTTGTATATATAAAGAGCAAAATATAGGTAGTTACATAAACCTTGTTGTAGCTATGTGTAGTAGGATCATGGATTTTTTATATCATCGAAACAATATTATTCAATTAGATTGGTAACGAAAATACACGGCCTCCAAACAGTCTTGTGTAGGTATATTAATATTACAAAGAGATAAGATTTGATTGCTTTTATTAAATAGGCTCTGTAACTACTGGACTCCCTTCGGGAAGCTACATCATACGTGGGTGACATACGTAGGCTATAATACACGAGGGAAGTCGCGGGAATACTGAAAAAGAAGGAACACATTTTGCTTACTTACCTCATTATATCCAATGGCGACCGATTATGTTCTTTACACATACAAGGTACAAAATCGTGTGTCTTTTTCATAAGCCACCAGCCTGCACGAGACAGCTTCCATTCTATGATTTTAGTTTGGGCCACTGCACATGTCCCTGCTTCTCTTAGCAAATCAAAATAGGAAGCCATTAGTTCTTGACCTAAGGATAAATATTATAATTGTAATGGAAAATCTTTTCAAAGATAAATAAATAATAATAAAACCATCAAAATGAAATTATTCAAAGGTAAAACCAGTAAGTTAGAATAAAAGAGTAAGTAGCTAATAAGCTAGACTGTTAAAACTTGTTGTGCAAAATATAACAATATTATTTAGTGAGCGACAACTGGCCCTAACGTACTTAAAAAACTCCGAAATCGTCACCAAAAGTGACGTCATCTTTGCAAATCAAAAAGCCAGAAATATTGTACTAAACTTGTACTGAAGCAGCACCAGTTAAGAGCACAGTAAATAATTATCTACTGGGCGAAGAAACAAAAATTAACATTGAAGTTTGTTGAATCGAACTTTGTTCAAGGAGTGGTTGATAATCTGTTTTTTTGCAAAGTAAAAACAGGTTTTTTATGTTCATTTTTCAAATATTTCATACCTAGTGACGCACTTTGCTGGTGGTTTAGCAAATGGTCAGAAAGCCGTTGAACGAGTTTGTTTGTAACGTGAACGACATTTATAATGTAAATTAAAATCACGAATCACGCACCGTCGAAAAATATCTAACTCTGGGGCCTCAGATCCAATATTATATATGAAAACCATTTTTTTTTTAATTAACTAAGACTCTGCTACAATTTACTATTCTACATGATCCTCCAAACAATGGCGAGATGAAAAGAATAAGAAGTTACTATATTTTTAAAATCTACAACAGTTTTCATATTAAAAAATATGTAAACATATAGAAATTCAAATGCCATTTTCAAACTCACCAGCAGATATCGACATCATAAGCCGTGACTGCTCAGCTTCTTCTTCATATATTTCATTTGTAGTTTTTTTTGAAAAGATAAATACTCCTTTCTCGTCCTGTTTTGTTGGAGTAATACTAATACCACTATTCTAAGAAAGGAAATATTTATTCAATTAATAAACATGACGTCATTTAAATGACAATGCCACGTGTGCTGAGATTGGTACATCATCATATGGACATCAAATGGTCTCAACAAAAAAATACAAAGTTACCATATTAAGTATTAAAAATAAAACGATATTCAATTTCATTAAGTCTTCACATAAAAATTAATCAATTCACTCTCTTTGACTAGGCCTGAAGCCCGATGTTTAGTAAGTATTAGTTTTATAACAATCTACTATATTAATTATAAGATTCTAAAAAGACTTGCGATTTTATCTTGTTACATTATGCACGTTCTTATGGACTTTATATTTTTGAGGGTTTCTAAAATAACCGGCTATATGCATTGCTTTTAAATCTTTTTTAAAGGACTGCGCTGACCGTAAGATTTGTGGAACGACATGTTTGAAACTAAAATCAGATAATATAATGAGTGCTATCATACATTAATGTTTATAACTGATTTACTTGTTAAACCTACATCTTGATATCCTGCTGTACCCATGAAGCAAGAAAATGCCTCCGCTAAGTGCTGAGTGCCAAGATCAGGCCGTTCTCTCCTAAGGTGAAGCTCTCCAAGAAGGTGAAGAGCACGGCCCAGCTGCCTCCGAAGCTTATATTCCATTGCGAGTGCTCCCATCTCTGTTAGCAACTTGGCAGCCATCTCATGGTCACCTAACCTATGATTGAAATAAATGTTAATGAAAATTAATGTAAAAGAAAGAAAGTAGGCATGTAGTATGAATGTAACAGTGCAAATAGAAGAACTGGAATGCAAGAGAATTGTGAATTTTAAGGTACTGAGTAGGGGGGCAACAGGAAAAAAACTATGATTAAATAGATTTTTGCATTATTGCCGATCTAATCATTGAACTTATTTACAAGCAAAATTGCGATAGTAATAAATTAGAACACAAGTCTTCTTGTTTCCTTAATAGCATTTCACTGAATCTCTTTATTCTAGACTATTTTATGATTAAATTCTTATTGGAGACATTTAACAAGGATTTATAAGAATATTTTTTTTCATTATCAAATAAAGATAGAGTTTGTATAAATATAGTTTCGTAAATTATATTTTATCTATAATAAAGAATTGACTTAGATCCGCACAGAAGGTCTTATAAGTTATTAACATCACTCGATCTTACTTTTGCATAACAGCAGCGAGGTGCATTCTAGTTTCGCACAGTCCTTCTATATTCTTACTCTCCGAATGGATCTTAAATGCTCTTTCGAATGTCTTTTGGGCATTATTCAAGTTGTTCATCGCCAACTGACAGATTCCGATTTCTATGATTGCTTCCGCAATCTTATCAATATCATCGGCTGAGAAACCAATCCAAAATGTTATACTTGAAATTCTCATTATAAGAATAGTTATAATCTTTCCCTAAAGGCAGTGAAAGTACGTACGTATTTCTATCTTTAGATCTCTGCATCGTTTCTACGAAGTAAAGCTTTGTTATACGGGACGCTATAAGTTGCTGACCCTACCCCATACAACAATAGGCATTTCTATCAAATCTCTGTGTAGTCTCCAAGAAATACTGCATTTTGTTGTACGGAACGCTATAAGTCGCTGACTCTATACATAACTCTCTGCAAGCTTTCCTCTAAATTAATAGTTTTATTTTACGAGATGCCTTGTGTTGCTGTTGACTCCACTCCATTAAAAAATAGGCAGTAAAGAAGTCTACAGATAGCGATTCGTATCGTTTACTTTCAACAAAGATGTGTTCTTTTTTTTGTCACGCTTAGGAACTTATTAAAGTATAACTATCACTTGGGGCAAAATATGTAATGACAGCCCAATTAAAAAAGCAATTGCTCTTTTCGGTGAGTAAATTATCGATTATTCAAGCTGAACGTAAATTATCAGTGGGTCTTAGTGAACAATTTTATTGAAAAATTAGCTAAAGTAATTTTAAATTAGTAATTCGTAGTTGATATGTGAAATCTATTTTTCAATATCGGATCTCTATTTATTTATAAATAAACATCAATTCTCAAAATAATAACATAATTGAAAATTGACGAAAGATCAGTATTGAAGAATTTTACCTCTTGTATACATATACAAGACGTAAAATTCTTATAAAACATACATATGTTTGGAAGAAACCTTTTACAGGAATCTCATATTGATGTCATTGTTAACGACAAAGAGGATGTTCTTTCAATATTTGAACATAACAATGTAAATATTAAACCAAATATTGTGAGCATTTGGTCACAAGTGGGGGAGAGGATACAATAGAAGATATCGTCGTTGATCAGGTTACAAACAATATGACATGTCTTAGTATTAGTAGTTTAATGATAAATTTTTCGAAGAATTACGAAATGTCCATAGTTTTCAACTAATCTGAGATGAGCGTTATTCTATTGACCGGTTATTTATCTGTCAAATGCTATGGTTATATAAAAAAGTGATTCCAATAAAAAATTGCTGATTTATATTTCATCTTTATAAACCTGGCCAAATCAGTTCTATTCAAAAAATATTTACTCCTATTTTAATGTGGATGTAATTTTATTGTGTATGTATTCAAAAATATAAAACCTATTTTAATGAAACTTGAACTGTTCACTAAGTAGAAAGCTAACTAATCAAATAAAATACACTTCTATTCGATGTGTGATTAGCGAGGAATACGAGGACAAACAAACATATACTTTGTAACATACATAGATTAATATTGTGCCATTATAATGACATTAAATTCATTAATAGATAACCTTTTTTGAAGTCATTAAATAGCAGATGCAATGAAGAAAACTGCATTACCATCTTTTGCTCGTCTTTCGGCCAATCTGGACAGCCTTTCGGCTTTTCCAGGGTCTTCTTTTCTGATAGCCCTAGCTTTGCTTAATAACACTCTATGCAACTGCTTAGCAGTTACTGCAAATACGGTATCTGAAGGTGTTGTCTCAGCGTCTTTACTATCAACTTCGTATAATGCCCAACTCTAAAAAAAAATAAATTGATCAAAAAGTCCAAAGTACTTGAGCCAAGAAAATTTATTAGGTTAAAAAGTGCCACATTAAAATTCCTTTTGTTTAGTATTAGCCTATTAACCTCTCATATATAAAAGATCATGAAAGAAATGAATAAAAAGTCTTCTTAGTTAGAAAAACTTTGAAAAGAAGCTAAGTACCTCAGCTTACGAATTTTCCTATCAACCTAGTTAACATCATAATACATTATCAGACATATTTTCTTAGGAAGGTAGCTAACAAATTCTCTCACCAATGTTCTAAGCACTAATTGAAATACACACTTATTTAAATAAAATTTATAATAGTTTAAAATAAATATATGAAAAAAAATATATAAAGACCTCTTAACGTATTAATTAATCTATATTTATGGCATTGCAAGTAGGTAAATTAATTAAAGTGGTACGATATGTACGCAAAATCGTTTTATAGTCATCGTCTTGTTTATAAACTTATAAATACTACATTGTAACAATGAAGGTCCTTATATTTACATAATAATTCCATATATGCAAAAGTCTAACGTTCTTATCAAATTGCTATAAGAACTACATTTCTTATCCTTAAAGGTTTTAAAAAATTATAGATTAATTACATGCTGGAAAGAATTTATTTATCTTTACTGGTTAATAATAAAACAAATGAATCTCTCATACATTAATAGTACACAGAAATCAATAGTAAACGGTATCTGTATATTGTTTTACTCCTGCAAACAAATGAATGATTAATTGTTAGTGACCCTCCTAGAAAAAGCCAATAATTTATGTTTTGTTCTGAACAATATTTGATACCATTGTCGGAAGACGGCTTTTGGTAAAAACGTCGCCTTATATAAAATTGGGATAAATTTGTATGTTAGACTAGCTTTCCGCCAGCGGCTTAATTGTTTAGTGGGATAGAAAGAAGTTTTATATGTTTATTCAGGCTTATGATTAATCGTATACCAAATTTCATTAAAATCCGTTCAGTAGTTTTTACAAACTTTGGCATTTATAATATTAGTAGGAAAAGAGAGCAACAAAAGAAATACAAATCGGAATGGTAAATTATTCAAGACACTCAGGTGCCGGGACCTGTGTCCGAAGATCAACCAACCTTGTTGGTTGATTATATTTTCTTACGATTTACCAAAATGGCGATCCAATAAAAATTAGTTTATTCTGTAGCAAACTAAAGAGGCATTTAACAAATACATAACACTCTCATTAGATCATCATACCTTTCCAGTAGAACTGTCTCTAACTTCAGTTAGTATTAAAAATGGCTCCTCGGTATCTGCTCCTGGAACTGTGAAAATTTATTGTAACATAAACATCGCTATATTACTGTAAGAATGTTCATCTGGTCCCTTTTAACTTTAGGTGTTAATATAAACGACTTAGTTGCCCACGTTAAGTAACGTTACATTAAATTAGCGAAAAAATATTATTGAATCATTCCGTGTAGGGTACCAAATCAAAGGGCTTAATTAGCTCATTTCAAATATCATAACAAAAAAAAAACTGTTATGTCATAAGACTACGCTGTCTGATGGTCATTGCTATTAATATAGCTATCGCAATAAATAAAATTCTTGTATCTAACTACTTAAATCGTGGTTTAGCTGTAGTCAGGTTTTACTTTTTGAACTTAATTTTACTTTAGAATTAGAACGATATTACGTTGATTAGAAATATGGTTATGAATATATCTTATTATTTTTATTACTAGTAATTAACCAGATGATTTCACTGACACATTCTGTAAATAATGACCTTTAAAAATGACCTGGTGGCCTTTAAAATAGGTATTTTGTATGCTTATGGCTGTACATTAGATATAAAAAATATAAGTCGTTCTTATTCGGTTATTTTATTAACTTCATATTCCCAACACTCGTTATACGTAAAAAATATCATTAGATACTGTAATACTCTGACTTTCTGCTAGACCGTAAACCCACGGGAGAATACAGTAAGTGACACTGTCTTCTTACAGAACTCCACGCACATAAAATTCAATCCAAAATGACTTTAGCGGCTCTGAAATAAGATATATTTAAAAAAGACATCATGTTGTCGTGTGGACAGATAACAGGAACATGTTTTCAATAAATAAAACATGAGTGGGGAAAAGTTACGCAATATTTTATTAAAAATTATACACCTGATATTTCATCTGAAATGTGATAGTGACATTTCGATAAAAATCCATGCATTTTATATCAACTTACTTCAAGATAAATTTTCTTATATTTGAACATAAACATGAATTGAGACGAAGAAAACGAAGGAGCTTGGCGCGGTGGATTAGCGCGTTCTGTCTGCGATGCGGGAGTTAAGCAACATTCGCAAAGACCGATCATAGGATGGGTGACCAAAGATTATTATCTCCAGCTATTCCGTGCTTTGTAATCCATTGGTCCCGGCTGCATTTGCATTCGTTAATACCCTCCAATCCACATAAGGCCAGCGTGGAGGGTTATGGCTCATCCTTCTTCACCATCCACAAGGAGGGCCTGAGCTTCTTAAAACACGTTAAAAATATAATAATAATTTCAAAACCAAACTGTATTTCCAAAATAAAAAAGCTTAATAATAGTCATTTATAGTTTCACCACGTCCGTCTGTGTGTAAAAAAAAATAGGCTACCTCCCCTACATAAAAAGTGGGGATGATATTATTTCCGTTTTCCCCATAGTGTAAGGTATCATTGGAGAAGTCTGTCACAAACATTGGGTGTGTGGTAAGGCCGTTTTACAATTTAACCCATTAGTGCATAAAGTTTATTAACGCCTTTTTCATTATGATCACTGTAATATATTTTCATTTCGAGTGTATTTGACCATTAAATTATATAAAATATTTAATCAATATGAAAGTTTAGATTTTATAGCCCGTCCGATAAATCGGACGTTATGCACGGCGGACACTGTAGATGTTAAAAAAATATGAAAATAAAAGTACGACTTTCATGAATAAATTTACTATAATAAGCAAGAGAAAATAAATAGATTTTAATTTACGATGTGGTATGCCATGTGACATTTCGGGTGAAGGCCTACATCACATTTCTGACACTGGAATTTACTTTTCCCGCCACATTGATTTGCACACCGACGTTCAGTATTTATTGGGACCAGCCAATGTTCTTTACCGTCGTATCTCATTGTACATATTGGTTTTGCTGGCTTGCGGCCTTGATGCGGCGGTATGCCATGTGTGGAAAGTAAGCTTCTTGCTATGAACCGTCTAAAAACGAATAAGGACTCGGTGTCTCTCGTGCAGCCATTCTTCCGAGCAAGTAACCAGGCGTTTACTACCGACATGTCTACTAAATATGCAAATATGGGCCACCACCACTTCTTTATTCGCATCCGAATTCGTAAGTTTGCCACGGCCTGGTCGCATTTATCTACTCCACCCATATACTTATTGTAATTTGAAATAAGTGATGGCTGAGGGACTTGCACTTTAGCTTTTTTTTCGTTAGACCAGCGGGTTGCAGATGTAATTGCAAGATTTTCAAAGTTAGTGGCTACTGTGACAACATTGTTATCATTCCACCGGCATACGAAGACATCATCAGCTAATCGGTAATCGTAATGACCTCGCGCTTCCCTCTTGAATTGTTTTACGTCTTTGACAGTACAGTTTCAGTGCGATTAGCTCTCAAGGTTCCCGTAGCATAATAGCCGATCTCCTTCAGGTGTCTCATTAGGCTCAAAGATGTAAAATAATTGTCAAAAAACAATTTTATGCCACTATTAGGCGGAAGTTTGCTCAATCTAATTAGTCGGAGAACAACATCGCCACCTAGTCCAAAATCTTTTTTTTCGGTACTCTTTCCCGTATATAAGCTGAAAGCTACCATATATCCGGTACTTGCACACATTGCCCAGTTTTTGAAACCAAATCTTATTGGCTTTCCACGGATGAACTGTTTAGCGTAGTGTTTCCCATAATAAGGGATCATGCTTTCATCTATGCTATACTGTTCATCCATTCCGTAGTGTTTTTGGAATGATTCACCTAGACTTTCAATAATAGGACGTAATTTATGCAATCTATCTGTAGATTCACCGAGCTCGCTGTTGTCGTTCAAGTGCACATGTTGAAGAATTATTTCGAACCGATTGCATCTAATGCTATCCTGTAGAATTGTAGGCACGTCATTATCTTTGCAAAAATACAATCGTTTTTTTGGCAACTTGACGTAGCCTGACAATAGCATCGCTCCTAATATAACGCAGATCTCGTCTTCCGTTACCATCAAAGATTTATTTTTTTGCAAAGCGTACAGGTTTGTTTGTTTGACTATATGTTTGATAAGATCATTGTGAAAAAATAATTTGAAGTATTCTAGTGGATTTTGACATGCTTTACTTTCATCTGATGGTGGCTGTGGACGATATTCAGTACAAATAAAAGCGGGTTCCTCTTTTTTCCAATGTGTAGATTTTTTCTTTTTAGCTGGGGGTGCAGACCTTGATAACTTGTGGGAAATGAAATTAGAAAGGGGCTGCTCGTCTTCACTATCGCTACTTGATAAAGAATTATCATTTGACGATCTTTGCGTATTTCAACCGAAGGCTGTAAACGTTGATGGAATAGAAACAATTGTATCACCTCGAAAACGTTGCAGTTCGCAGTTAGTTTGCAGCAGTCTTCGTCCTAAGTGATTTAGGTTCGCACCATGCTCCTCGTCGGACTTGTCACTGTCTTCATCAGTGACCTGATCGGCATGCTCAATAGGGGGCTCAACGTAAATTATATTTTCTGTATAATTATCATACTCCTCACACTCCAAAGCAGATAATATTTCATGAACTTGCAAGCTGTAACAATTCGAGAAAACACCACATGCAGTACTCGCCGTGCATAGCGTGCGATATATCGGACAGTACATAATTAGCAAGCATAGCCTTCAAAATAACAGGGGCCACGTAAAAATTATATTGAAAATAAATAGTGTAATGGTTTAGCAAGCAAAATATCCCTTTTTTACCAATAAAACATCACAAAATACAACAATAACACAATATAATCTTACCTTCGCCGCAAAAAATTTTGACCGCGTGCCGCCATTTTTCAAAGTGACAACTGACGCGCAGGCGCGTTGCCGGAATGTCATGCCAACAGTATTACCACTTCAAATATATATTACACTACTGTTTAAAAAAAATAAACGGTAAGTAAAATATATATAACTCCTAAAATAACAATTTTATTGGCGTCCGATTTATCGAACGTTATGCACTAATGGGTTAATTAACCGTTTGTGACTTATTAAACTTTAAAGAGCTAATTTTCCTTAGACTCAAGTGTCACCCCTCTACCAACTAAACGGTCGTTGTTAAAAATTCAAACGTTACGGCAATAATAATTTCAAGTAACTTTTACAAATGTATTTTTTTTTTTTTACTTTTACTTACTCTTAAGTCTGACTCGCACATGGCCGATTATTATACTAAAGAAAAATGAGAACCAACGAGGAATAAAGTATTCTTTTGATTCATTCGCGAATCATACAAGGGATTACTTTTATAGAGCCAGTGATGCTTGAAGCTTAACATGTTAATCCTATGTAAAAAAATCCATAAATATTTTTTAAGCAGTAAAGCGAAAAAGTAAATAAATAGACATTAGTAATACTACTAAAAAAAACATATTATTGATTCATTGGCTCGTTAATCGGAACTTTGTGTTAGTTAGGGTCACTGCATATTAGACAGAAGATCTGCCGAGCGTCTCACAAAAGTATGCGTAAAATTACGCGACAGATTATCCGTCGAGTGTGCATGATTAACTGGCCGTTGTACAAATGTCCATTAAAATTGACACTATTTTAAAGAGACATTAGCGATACAAATTTTCAAATTGAGAACATTAATTAGAGCTTAAAGTACGAGCGAGTTCAAGGCTATTCATTAATTAACATAAAAGCATAGATGGATCTTTTTGAAATAGAGATTGTAAATCGACTGGAAACTAACTGTATTTTCAAATATATGAATTTACAGAAATGCCCATGGATATGAGGACTGTTTTAATTTTTTCAGAATTCTGATTTATTTATAAAGTCTTACTAAGTTGTACTAACCATAAGTAATAGGAATACAAAAAAATACAATTTTACGCGATAAGATAATGTCAGTGACCTCTGCAAAAATCGTCATCGATACTTAAAAGGACTCATAATAATATAGATATCTATACCCGGGCCATAATAAATGTTTATGACGTAAAATATTTTTATTATTATTGCGACCATTTAATTTATGGTGTAAATTAAACGGAAACTTATCAATAGACGTCACTAAACCTACCAGTTTTCGATTTCCAACAGCACAAACACATGTTTGTGATATACAAATAAACACACGTAATTTAACATTAATAAAAGATATTCTTGATGAAAAATGCTTAAAAATCTACTATGTTACACTTGCGACTTCCTTGGAATAACAAACAGCTATATTTCTGTTCCCTTATTATTTGCTAATTCGATATAATCCCTAGTATTGTTAAAGATAATGTTAATTTAATTTTAATAGGTTGCCAAAAAAGTTTCTTCTTATTTTATATGAAAATGCAAACATATTCTAATGTATATAGATACCATTTTGTTCGAAAACTTTTCGCCATCTTTGCTATAACACGATCCCATTGCTATAAAAATTTTGAGGCTTCTGATCAAATAATCGCGACAAGTGATTTTGGCAGTCATCGCGTGATGTCTGCCTGAAAAAATCTTAAGAGTCCGAAACCGGTGGAAATATGAAGTTGCAATGTCAGGGCTATACGGTGGATACTTTAACACTTCCCAGCCAAACTCTCTTAATTATTACGAAGTGGCAAAATATGTGTGAGGTATAGCGTTATTATAAAAAAACCACACCCCTTCTGTTGATTAATTCTGGCCGCCTTATGCTTTAATCTCATCAGTTGTTCACAGTAGATTCCAAGCCCACTATACACACAGCATCATCTTGATGCGAGTTAACCTGGGTTTCGCCACAGTCTGCTAAGCCTGACCTCTCTTTGAACACGACCTTTAACTTTCGCACGTTCTTGTCATACGTGATCCATTTTTTATCACCAGTTATTATCTTCAAAAATGGTTCAGTTTCGTTACACTCTAATAAAGAATCACGAATACGGTCCATATTAGGTTTATTTCAGTGAGCTCGTGAGGTACCCAAATATCCAACTTTTTGTGTACACAGCTTTTGCAAATGCGCCAAAACTATTTTGTGTACCAAAACGAGCTTGCTTTACTTTTTAAAATATAACATCCACTTTATCCGTAACAGGGGCGACCGGAGCGAGTTGACATCAAAATTTTCGGACTGGAAACGCTTAAACCAAATTTGTGCTTCTCGCACAGTAACTGCACTAGGTCCATAAACGTTACAATTTTTTGCGACTTGCGTTGAATTTTTGCCTTTTTTGTAATAATATTTTAAAATGTATTCAATTTCATTATTAGATTCACCCATTTTCACAATAAGATAAAAAACGAAAATCACACGTGTTCCTAATTGAATTCTTTAAAATTTAAACTTTTAAATGATACCGAAACCAGCCAGATTTTATTCAAGATTTTTTCGCAAGACTTTTTCCCTCATCTAATATTACTAACTTCTTTCGACAAAAAAGACAAAAAAAATGATAACACTCATATGCATGCCTATTATTCCGACCCTGAATACAAGACATTGAAATATAAGTGTAAGAAATAGGTCCAGAATTACATTACAAAGCTTATCGTACTAAGTTAGGTAGGAATCAGTTGATTACATTCAGTTTTGTTGCTAGCATGTTAATAATGAAGCAGTTAATTTACCAACATTAAGTCTATACTTACATTTATCCAACAGGAACTTGGCATAATGATATTTGCAGCACGCCTTTTGTCTGCCACCATCTACTAAATATTGACTACTAACAGCAATAGTAGCCATGTAAAACTTTTCTGCTAGCCACAATATACCTTTCTCCTGTTCAGCATAATACATGGCTAACTCTAAAAGATTCAAACATTCCTTCTTCTTATCGCCTACAAAATTAAGAATACTTCTATACTTTTGAATATATATTTTGCTTTAAAATACATCATATCTATAGATAAAGAGGCTAAATAAAGACACAATTTGCAGGGTTTATACAGTTTATCTGAATTTTAATCCATATTTTGCTAGTAAATATGAGAACAGCACACAAACTACAATCTCATTTCTTATATCAAATAGTGGCATTAGCTTCTTGGTCCTATCTGGTGACAATAGGGCAGCAGAAACACTGAAAAGGGGCCGGCTGCACTTATTATATAATACGGTTTGCCAGTATCTCAAATTATCACAATAATGAAATAATGACAAGATAATGGCAAGCTCCTTAAATTTCGATAAGACGTCATATTAAAGCTTTTTTCATAATGGCAAGATGGCCAAATCCAAAATGTAGTTTCAAATAGTGACAATTTGCCTGCTCGTTGCATTTTAAACTGACAAATTTATTTATTTTAGGTGAAATACACCAGCTAAATGGCAAAATTATCATTAGTCGACTTTTTGATTTGCGTGGTGTGAAAAGAAGCTAACTTGAATCGTGGACTAAAAATATTAGAATTCTCTTTTATAAAATGGAACGTTGTATAGAAATATCAAGTCAATCGAATACATAACCCGTCCATTTTAAGAGCTTATAAAAAGAGACATGTGAACGCTTTTATCTTGAAATTCTGCCACGAAAATGTTTACGGCCACCACCTAGTTCACTACTTATATATATTTTAAAAGCAAATAAAATTATAAATAGATTCTTTAAAATGTAAATGAACTGTGAATCTTGCAAACATCTTCCGAAATTAGTACGTTCCGTTGACTTTGGTAACTAAATAAGTCCCACTGAATTTTGTAAATACAGCATATTAATCAGACACAATCCACCTTTATCTTTCTCCGTCTCAGCCTTCCTAAGACCGAGACTAATGTGCTCCAAGTAATCAGGCCTATTCCTTAAGTCAACAACTATTCCAATGTCGTCCTCAGCCACCAACTGAACGTTGTCATATATGAGATCTTGTAGGTAATTCGCAGACTCTGTGTATCCTGCTTCACGTAACTCTAGTATTAGGCATTCATGTAAAGGTCGTTTGCGGCTGTAAAAGAAATACAGATGTTTATACAATTGCTCATTTTTAGATACTGCGGTCTCTGAGATTTGATTCACGTTTTCGAGTCGAATCAGCATAGACAATAGAATTGGAAAATGATTTGAATGTTGTGTAGGTACTATATATACAATGATTTATATCTGTTTTAAATCGGATGAAAGTCAAAGATGACGATACCATAAAACCGGTATACAACCTTATCGGCACTGGTCAATAAAATCACGCATATTATCATATCTTAATTCCAAATTTTGCATAAAAATTTGTTCAGATCTAAAGTCCGTACAAATGTGTAGGTAATACAAATATATTAGTTCTAGAATCTATCAAAATTTGTTTTGAAATATGCACATCAAGTTGAACTAGTAGCTGCAATTTTGACCCCTGTATGACAATATTTTTATATTTGATAAATTCACAACGTTATGCTAAAAAATATTCTTAATGAAAAATACATTAAAAAATCCACTTTGTCGCATCACAGAGTGCCATGGACAAAGTGGAATTTTTAATCATTTTAATTAAGCTTTATGTTTTTTCATGTTACTTTAGAATTTTGTTTCTTTTTACAACTTCAAGTATATGGCTTTAAGTTCAATACGATATCTCCACATATTTGCCAAATTAACACCCAGTTGCACATAAGACTATTTATATATCCATTAGATTCAAAATCATCATTAAACCTTAATGGACGTTTGTGCGAGTGGATATAAGGAGGCAGAAGGAGGTTTTAAACTCACGGACAGACAACAAAGTGATTCTATAAGGATTCTGTTTTTCTTTTAAGGACTGAGACCCTAAAAATGTATCTACTTCTACTATATATAGATGAAATTTGCTTGACCGTACAGTACAAATCATGCAAAATGCAACACATCGAAATTGCCAGTCGACACAGCTGTATTATTATTTGTGATAGCTCTAACCTCAATGCAATATTGCAGTATTTGCAATCCCGCCACATTCAACAAAGTGACGTAACTATACATGACAAGATTCTTACACGAAATCTTGTGCACATTATTTTGAGTTCACTTATATACAATGTTTCATACAAAGCTTTAGAAAAGACATATTCACACAGTCGTAAAATAAAATTATTTAGGCTTAGACGTAATTGATGATTTTGACACCTAAGCTTGAGAAACTTTAGACTTGAAACTTACCTTCGTATCTATAATCGAGAGACGCAATTACTTGAGAATATGTTATTTATAACTAAAGCAGATATTTTGACCAAATAAACAAGAATTTGAATGAAGCAAGATCTGTCAATAGTTAGAATACGATAATTATTTGCTAATTGCAGTTCTTACTTTATTCAAATTCTCATCTATTGGTTAAAATATTTGCTTAAGTTATGACATTTTAAGTATCTTACTAATAATGACTTCTCTCGACTATAGATAGATAGGGCAGATAAGGGCAGGTGCATATCTGAGGGAAGATGCGTCTCGTAATTGTTGGACACAAAATGTCAGTACTGACAAATGTACGAAGTGACATTCAACTCTTCACACACGACGGAAAATCCGTCGGATAGTAACGTATACTCCAGTAACACGATAAAGGTTGAAATTGTGTGTGTTTGTTTTGATGTATCTTAACCATCAATGTATTATCTTTTATCTCAAGCTCCTCTGTGCTTCGCCGTTGGTCCCGGTTGCATCTGCAGTCGTTAATATCTACCAATCCATATGCCGCCCTGAGCCCACGAAGCAGGTTATAAGTCCATTGTCCTTATTTGTGCCAGTTGTGCCTTTGTCCATATGGGTGGTGGGTGGGCAGTGGGAACGTGAATGATTTAAACCAGTATTCAAAATATAGTGTATCAACTCACCCTGCTAATAAAATGTAAAATTTTGTAAGGATTAATGTTACTTTGTTACCCTTTCACTCAAAAACTACTGAATGGATTTCGGTAAAATTTGGTATGCGGATAACTCTAAGCAAAGAATTACTATTTACACTAATTTTTATCATTCTAAACGGTTCCACGGGGATAAATGTATTGTTAGGTCATCACCATGCGAGCGAAGCTTCTGGCGGAAAGTCATGCTGCTGGAGTACAAGGGTTTAATTTTAAATCTCTGCCGTATTTGATATGTGAATGACATTCACAAAATTCACGCTGTAGCTGTTTGATATATGATAGCGATTGCAAGCGCGACGTTTTATTGGAATATATTAAATGAACGATATAGTTACTTTAACGTTAATTATTCTAAGACAAACGTTAGACGCAAATCTTTGAAAACTTTAAAAAATGACGAACAAAATGCTACCTATCTTTTGACCAAATTAGGTCAGCTATTTTTTATTATGGAGTGCTAGAACAGAATACCTCCTAGTGTGCCCGTGCCGTTGTCTCTTCGTCTCCGACAACAGCTTTTGTTGGGACGGTGCTTCCGAGGTATTGGGGATTTATCGATTCGTAAGATATCGAAACGATGGTTCCTTATGGCCAAGAGTCCAACACCGAGTGGCTCGGCAGGCATCCTGGACGTGCCGAGAAAGGTGGGGAGGAATCATTCCCTCCCTACATCAGTGGGTCATTGTGAGGGATTTTAGAAGGTTTTGTTACTCTGACTATGGCGAGGCTGGGAAGCGGCGACAAGGTCGAGCTCGACCGGGACACCGGATATTCTGGAAGTAGTGGAGCAAGTGAGGGCAGTGGACCTGCTGGTTGTGAAATCACAACCAGTTGGTGCTTTGGCAACCACCGGTCAACCCTGTTACCCTACTGTTGTAGGAATAGGATGGGGAATGGGATGGGGCTACTCTTTATTGGGTATCCTCGAGAGGAGATAACCTTAATAAAAAACAACCAGCCCATGCTGGACGTGGGCGAAGGATTCGTGGCCGGCGGTTATGGCCGGCTGTTACACGTCCTCTGGAGATAGGAAAAGAGCGACCCCTACCTTCACAGTGGACGTTTATTTCCGACCACGATCATGGTCACAAAATGGAGTCTTTAAATTTACTTAAAAATAACCCCTTTTGCAAAGATGGTGGTCTAAGCTCAGCCGGATGCGAGCATGGTTTTGCTGAGTTGGTGTCTCCAGGCCTTACGCAGGCGCAAGTACGCGTGGTGTGACTGTTAACTCCTCACAGAGTTAAGATCGGGAAGGATTATTTCAAAGCTCTAACAAACCTGATCCAGCAACAACTCCTAAGAAGCAGCGCAAAGGCAGAAGTAGGAGAAGAAATGCCCCCTCTCTATCTGCCTCAACAAGCAAGGGTCTTTTTAGGGAGCGAGTCAGTAGGGGAGCGACCAGTATCATCAAGAATGTTGGGAGTGTCAACTCCTCGAATGAAACCCTGGTCGATATATAAAATTGAGTGTTTGCTTCCATAGAAAGATACATAGGTCGATTACAAAGGCAGAGATTATTGCCGCTCTGCAGGTACCTGCTTCACAAACATCTGAGCAATTGCAGTCGGCGCAGACTCTGAGAAATTTATCTAGCATTTCTGGACGTGATATCAACCAGACCTTTAACTAATCAGGTGAAAGAGGGCGTACCGATTTGATTACAGAGAGTGGCGACAGTCTTCACACGCTCATTGAACCAGATCCGGCGAAGAGGGTTGCTGCGGAAGAGACCATATTGCTCTGCTCACCAGTCCCTCACCAGTCCCGGATGTTAATCTTAGTCCTGCTAAGGAGCCTATCAACGCGAAGTCGAACACTATGGCTTATGGTAATCCGTGAAGGATGCCTGTGGAATAGGCAAAAATAATGATGAGTACAACCCTGAGATGGATACTAAAAACTTCTCTATTACAGAGCGTGTCAATGCCAATACGAAGGTCGAGTCCATAACGGATTTTCATGAAAAGGCAAAGCAGTTAGGCAAGGTGGCCTCCATCTGCAGGAAGTCTAAAAATATCATTGGTAAGGTTAAAAGAAAGCTTACGAACAGCAATGTCTTAAATAAAGAGATGGCTGCTATTAAGGTGGGGCTGCGGAGGACACTCTGTAATACACCCTTGAAATGCGCAGTGCGTTGATTTCGCAGCGCTACGCTCTGAAGCTATAGGTAAGGACCTGTGCCGCCCCAATGCAGTTCGGTCAAAGTTAGGCAGTCGTAGGTCCTGGGAGGCGGTCATCTCCTATTGCAAGATCGAGAGATCGCAGAAGGAAGATGCGGAGAGAGCCCACGAGGAGGTGGTCCGCGCTGCCTCTCTCCGGAGTAAAAGGGTGGGACCAACTCCAATTTTGAGATCGATTCTCTAATCTCGGGTTCTTCGTTCGATGCGCACAGTTGGGCATTTCTAGTCTTTTCGCTGAGTATGCGTAACGCATTTCTCAGCGTCAAAAAAGGTCAGTTTTATTATATTTTATGATCATTTAAATCATCATTTGTTCCAAAAGCGATTACTACTTAAGAACTTATATATTTTCATAAATCGCTAGTACAAGAGCTAGACCTTTAAAAGAGGCTGCTATTGATTTTAAAATTAGACAATGGAAAATATGTTAAGCCTAGTGGATTGACGGGTACTAAGTACTGCAGATGCAGCTAACATGAATGGCTTAACGTGCCTTTTCGAATATATGTGAGAAAAAACTGACTAACAGCAAGTCTGACTTACGTACAGAGGGTTCAGGCCATTATTTCTCATAGATTTTCCTATAGTGTTTTCAATTTATATATTTTTTTCGAAATTTTAGACTTAGTAACTTCTGGCGATCAAAAGGCGCACTGTCAATTGTCGTGTATTTTCTTATATAATCTCATAATAAGTATTTTCATTTTATATTCAACCCAATCAGTCGAGATCTTGTAAGGGTTCCTTTTATACGTACGGAATCCTAACACTAGAAATCATGGACAAAAAGAAGAGACAATTTTAAATCGCGAAATATTATTTCTACCACCAAAATAATAGTAATACGCCGCTAGTATACTAATGGCAGGTCAAAATGCATAATTCATGTTAATGTACAATTACCTGGTAGGAATTATTACCGGTTAGGTTAGTTTTTCTTTATAATTGGCTGACTCTTGATCTCCGTCTAGCCCAAAGACATAAATGAGATCTACGATGGAACGAACTTGACTGAACCTATACATTCTTACATTAAATAGGACGAGGTTATATGTATATGTTCTTTCAAAAATACCCTTTTTGAGTGTAATATTTTAAGAATAATAAAGATTGCTATTATTACCGTCTAATTCCTTTTGCATCAAGCATATCCAGACTGAATAAGGCTTTATTTCTCAAGTTTTCCAA